ATCGGAGGTCCCGTCTCAACAACCAACGGCCGCGGTCAGGAAACGTGCGACCGGGGTAAACGTAGGCTCGGTCGCGGTCACATTCACGGTGCCGCGATCAAAGGTATGTTGGCCGCAGGTCGGTTGGTCGTGACCGCGGCCCATTTTCCTGCGGCCTTCGTCCAACTTTCATGTTTTTGTTGGGCCGAGCAGCTAAATACCTCTCCTTCTTTTTCGGTTTTTCTATTTTTTCTGATTTTTTGTGATTTTTTTTTATAAGAGTACCTGAATCTAAAAAGGAAAAGAAAACATAGATTGTAAAAAAAAAAAAAAACTAAAAGAAAGTGTACCTAAATGGGTTACCTCCCATCAAGCGCTTTTGTTTTAAGTGGTTTAGCTCAACTTAGGCATGAAATATCAGGTTGGTTGAAATGGCACTCCATTAGATGTGCCTTTTCATTTCCAGGCGCTGGAGGTTTTGCTTCTTCCTCTTGAGAAACCGGCTTCTTTCCTTTACTCTTCTTTCGGACTTTAACGTTGTTTAATGCCCTTTTTGTGTTATCGATTAGTTCCTGGATCTGGTCCACACTAGTCTCTGTTGCATCTGGTGGAATGATGATCTTGATTTTCGCAAAAGCTCTCGGCCTCTCCTTGTCTTTCTCTTTTGGACGTTTTTCTTTACTTGGAACATCGTCTAGGATAGTGGGGTAAAACTTCCTGCGATCTACGTTGAGGAAGACAGCATGCCGGTTTGCGTGATCGATTACTGCTCCTACAGTAGCTAGAAACGGTCGCCCGAATATAAGTGGTCTCTCCTTGTCTTGATCCATTTCCAGAACTTGGAAATATGCCTGAACAATTTTGTTCCCAAATAGAACTTGCAGATCGTGAATCACCCCTTTAGTATCTTTTTGAGATGAATCTCCAAAGATTACCTTAATTGTCGATGTCTTTAAGGTTTTTAAGCCCAATTTTTCGGCAAATGTCTTTGACATGATGTTGACATTGGCTCCGGAATCGCATAAACAGTCCGTGAACTTGATTCCTGAAATGAAACATGGGCAAACAATACGTCCTGGTTCGTCGGCTTTTGTAAGCCTTTAAAACAGGGAACGTTGAGGTACCTTGAATGGTGGTTCTTTAGCATCGACATCCTTGTAAAGTTGTATAAAGATTGGGGTTTCTTTATCCTCTCCATCGATTTTGGCTCATTCTTCGGGCTGCGTGGTTAAGACATTGCAAAATCTCTTGGGGTTGTCTTCAACTCTTCCGGGAAGAGCTCCATTTTGTCTCTTCATCGAGTCGGCTGTTTGGGCAACTTGGACGTCTAGCTTTTTGACGTGCGAAGATAAAGCTTCAAACTTCCTGTTCAAATCATTGTACATACAGTCAACTTTCAAGTTCATGTCTTTAGCTACTTTCTCGTTTGTCATAACAAGCTGTTGGATAGACTGTTCAAGTCTTCCGATTTGCGAAGCTAGCTGGTTTTTCAAAAGCTGGCTCATCATGTTCTTCAACTCGGTTATCTCCTTGTTATCTGCTCCGGTTTGCTTTGTCGATCAATCGTATTCCGGACAGTCATTGCTATTAGCTTGAGCTAAATTTTTGATGATGGTTCTTCCTTGTGCTATCGTCTTTTGTCCAAAAACTTTATTGCTAGCTGTATCAAGCGAAAGTTTGTATTTTGGTTGCAAACCTCTGTAAAATGTGCTCAGCAGGCTTGATCTGGGAAATCCGTGGTGAGGGCAGTCACGTTCATACTCTTTAAAACGGTCCCAGGCTTCATAACAAGGTTCAATCGGTCCTTACTGAAAACTTAAGATCTTGGTTCTCAGCAAGTTCGACTAAGACTTAGTATATAAGTGGTTCAGAAAAGCGATTTTACATTCTTCCCAATTAGTTATCGATCCTGCAGGCAAAGATTTCAACCAGCGGTGAGCTTTATCTGCTAATGAAAAAGGGAACAACTTACACTTTAAATAGTCTGCTGGAACTTGGTTTGTTCTCATCATGCTGCAGATTTCTTCAAAGAGTCCAATATGGTCCATTGGATGTTCGGAAAGAACTCCATGGAACTGGTTTTGTTTCACCAAAGAGATGATTTAAGGCTTGACTTCAAACTCATTCCGGTTCGGGAATGGTACTTGAATTGTAGATCGATTTTGAAAATTCTGAGTAGGTGCATCAAAATCAGTTATGCGATGGTTCCTGGCTTGTCTTCGGTGTTGATGCTTGCTGAACGGGGTGGTTAATGCGCCCATTCGGCTGCATCTCCTGGTTGTTACCATCGGCTGTATTAATAGGTGCATCAAGGTCTTCGCGGTCTTCTCTCTCTTGGTTTTTAGGATTTCTTGGAGGAATCTCATTCTCTTCTCCATCTTGTTGAGCATGATCACCTTCTTTGTGATCGTTCTCTTCATTTTCACCATGTTCGGACCCATCTTGGTCCATGTTTAAAGTTCGGTTAACAGGATCTCCAGGCTGGTCGTCGTCGGCCATTCCTTGGTTCGTCTAAGTCTTCGAAGTTCTCCTTCGTGTATGTCTATCTTGTCTAGAATTGGGAGGTTTTCTACAGGTCTGCGCCTAGTATTCATGCAATTCTGAGAAAAACAAAAGAAGGGAAAGATAGCTCAGTTACTTAAGAAGGAACTAGAGATCAGATATCTAGAACAGAAATAAGAACAAGAAAAATAACAAAGGCAGCGAAAAAAATCCCCGGCAACAGCGCCAAAAACTTGATGTGTCTACTGCGTGAGGGAACAAGTTTTACCCTTAATTAAAAAAAAATGAAAGCCGCAAGTGCACAGCTAATCAGTTGTAGTACTTAGGGATCGAATCCACAGAGATTTGTGTGCCTGGTATTTTTCTACGGTTTCTAAGTTTATGTCTAGACTAAATCGTTTTTTAGGGGTTGGTTGTTTGTCACGGATTAAACTAAAACTAAAGAAAGCAAATAAATCTATCCTAGAAAGGAGGTAAAAAATCGAATGAAAGCAAATGAAACAAAACAGAATATCGAACTAGGCAAATAAAATGCAGAATATCAAACTAGGCAAATAAAATGCAGAATATCGAACAGTATATCCTCCCCGACAACTGTGCCAAGAACTTGATGTTGCTATGGTTACGGGGTTGCAGATGAAGTCTTAAATTTATAAATCCTAGGATCCTGCAAGTGCACAATTGTGTGGTGTAGTACTTAGGGTATCGATCCATAGCGAGCTTTTCGAATCTGCAAAAACTTCAAACTGGGATAAGTTAATAAACTCAGGGGGCTTTTATAGGGTTTGGGTTTTACGGAGAAAGAAAAATTAAAATAAAACTAAAGAGAAGTTGGGATGTTAAGGATATATAAGGGATGCTCGATTTAATCTAGGGTTCTAAACTCAAAGAGGGTCTATGCAGACTCCTCTCGAATGTCCTAATCGATATATAAGTATCTTCCAATTAGTCTACAGGTAATATGTATTTATCTATTTCTAAGTATCTGCATGGAACTAGAATAAGCACTAATATGGCTAGCCAAGTGTCGTCACCCTAACCAACTAATCACTTAAACTTGACAAGTAGATTTCATCTCTTGTCGCGAGTAAGATCACGCATTAATTGAACAGAATTCATTCTTGCTCACATCATTTATGTAGGTAGCTTTTGACTCCTACAATGACTATGTTCTTCTGAAGCTATGTACGGTGGTCTGATACATTACTGTCATCGCTCTAATCAATCATAGGTTCAGAGATTAGTTCATGACTCTAACCTCATGCATTAAGTACAATTTAGAACATGAGAACAACATCTGCTCTGTGAAAGCTTACCGAAAACTTTCACCAGAAGGTCCAGAAAAGAGGAATCATAGGTTCAGAGATTAGTTCATGACTCTAACCTCATGCATTAAGTACAATTTAGAAGATACGAGATCTAGAATATGGCTGAGAAAACTAGCAATCCTAATCGAACATATGGGTCCTTGTGATTGATCCTTTAAACCCAATTATTAAGCTACTCTAACATGATACAAGAAAAAAAAGCATAATAAATATATGTGTGAACTGAAACAGATAGATAAAAAGATATAACAAAGGTTCAAGGGAATAATCTCTATCTCTCTAACCTAAACCTAAGAAACAAAAGTTTGGTGGCTCAAAAACTCATTATAGAAGCATACATCCAAAATAGGCTGCAAAAAATGTATTTATAGGTCCGTAAGTCGTATAGGTCGTACTTAGGGTTTATCTGAAGAGAAATTGCGAAATGGGTTTGATGTTGGGCCTTGGGGCTGAGATATGGTGTACTGCAGGTGAGAGTCCTCTAAAACTGGTGGAATAATGGTCCACCGCAGGTGAGAAGTGTTGGACACGGCCAGAAGGCTATTTGCCGTGGGTCAGCTGAAGTTCAGGCTGGTTGACGGGACATCTTGATCTTCATGTATTTTTTGATTAAACCGTTAGAGCATCTCCAACAAGGAGATGAGGAGAGGTTCTTCATCAATAAAGTAAATAAAAAAAATTAAAAAGTAGGAGAAAAATTATAAGATAAGCTCTTAAAGCTCTTATATAAGAGACTCATAAAAGAAAGTCTCTTCACCTGTCAATTTTTAATTGGCTTGTCTGTATAATAATAGTTAAAATTAAATCAAATAACTAAATTATATTAAAATAATAATATTTTAATTTTAAAAACCTTTTTTTGTAGAACTTATTGATAGAGGTGGTCTTAGATCATCCTTAAGTAAATTGTTATAGAAATTCAAATGAATTATTTTTAAAAAATGTTAGTTTAGAATTTAATTATACGGATCACAATTATAATTATGCAAATTATTAGTTTAAAATTTAAATATTTACTTATTTTTGTGTATTACGTGAGATGTAATCTAATCTAGTATAATATAAAAATTGATAACTATTTGATTATATTACAAAAATATTAAAAGGTTGTATAAAATAAAAACAAATGTAATTTTAGCAAAACTCCATCATATTTTAAATTGAAGTTAGAGCTAAGAGACATTTGTAAAGGTTACAAAGGTTTAGCTGTCTCCACACAATCAAGATCTCCCCAATGGCCACTCTCTTTTGCCACTCCGACACATTCTCCTTCTTCTTTACTATATTTGTGTCACTGGTTCTTCTCAGTCTCCGGCAACCCTCTGCGGCGGCTATTTGTCAAGCTCCGCCGGTTATTTTTAACTTCGGAGATTCCAACTCTGACACAGGCGGGCTCGTCGCTGGTCTTGGTTACCCCATCGGCTTCCCTAATGGACGCTTATTTTTCCGGCGATCCACCGGTCGTTTGTCTGACGGACGTCTTCTCATCGATTTCCTCTGTAAGTAAAACAAAACCAAAAACTCTGTTTCGCTGTGTGAGTATGTTTTACCAAAAAAAAGTAATAGAACAGAAGTGATTTATGACAGATCCACCGTCCATTCGCATCTGGATGTGCGGCTCATAACATATTTAGACATTAATGTCGGTGATCGCAGGTGTGATCCAACTAAGCATATTCACTCGGTCACTGAAATCTTCTATCACAACAAAGTGGGTCCCATGTATAATATGTTATATGTCAGAAGTCACAAAATACATTAACCCCTTTTCATTTGTCTAGTTGGTTAAGTAAGGGTAAACTGGTTTTAACTTTGGTTCGGTTATGTTTCGATCTGTTGTAATGCAGTTTTAATTTGGTTTCTTTGGGTTCTCAATTTGCATTACCATTTGCTTTGGTTTTCACGCTTAGAAGCCAAATTCAACCATTGTTTATGAATTCGGTTATTTTGTGAAGCCCTGCTTAGCCTGCGATTTAGCCTATTTGTGTTTGTATAGATATTTAGCATTCATCCAAAGTGGGTAAAATGGATATACTAACGAGGGGATTTACAGGCCAGAGTTTAAATACTAGTCTCTTGAGGCCATACTTAGATTCATTGGGTGGATCAAGGTTCCAAAATGGTGCAAATTTCGCAATCGTTGGATCCACTACTCTCCCCAAAAATGTTCCTTTTGCGCTCAACATTCAGCTCATGCAATTCCTCCATTTCAAATCCCGATCTCTCGAGCTCGCTTCTACTTCCAGTAAACCAACCTCATCTCAAACCACTGTTCTAGATCCTCTGTTGATGATCTTTATAGGATTTAGCTACTGTGTGTTCTGTAGATGGAAGTATGTTCATAAGCGAGGATGGATTCAAAAATGCATTGTACATGATCGATATCGGACAGAATGACATTGCCCGTTCCTTCTCTAAAGGTAACTCGTATTCTCAAACGGTCGAGCTGATTCCGCAAATTATTTCTGAGATAAAAACCGTCATGAAGGTTAGATCTTTCGATCTTTTTAGAACTTTGATATGCACTGTTTAACATTTTAAAATCGGTTTTTGCGGTCTTTAGAAATTGTATGATGAAGGAGGAAGGAGATTCTGGATTCACAACACTGGTCCACTAGGTTGTCTACCTCAGAAACTTTCGATGGTTAAGCGAAGAGATCTCGACCAGCACGGTTGCTTAACCAGTTACAACTCGGCAGCGAAACTGTTTAACCAAATATTAGATCATATGTGTGAGGAGCTGAGGACCGAACTGAGAGACGCCACCATAATCTATGTCGACATATACGCTATCAAATACAGCCTCATTGTAAACTCCAACAAATACGGTAAAGGAGAATTACTCATTTCCTCGTTGAGACTGAATGAGATGGTTACAACTTAACTTACAGTTAGATCAATGCAGGTTTTGGGAGACCGTTAATGGCGTGTTGCGGATACGGAGGGTCTCCTTACAACTATAATGTGAACATAACATGTGGGCATAGAGGCTCTAATGTATGTGACAAAGGGTCTCATTTCATAAGCTGGGATGGGATTCATTACACGGAGACAGCTAATGCCATTGTGGCCGTGAAGCTGCTTTCGATGCAATATTCGAAGCCACCAACTCCTTTCCATTTCTTCTGCCGTCGGTGAGAATCAAATTTGGAAGTTTTTTTTGGCGTCAAACTTTTTAATGGTAATCAAATCACTAGACACAATAATAGAAGAGTTTGGTAGTCAAAGTTTCTTCAAAAACAAAGTAGATCCAAATGACAAAATCTGGGAGAGCAATTAAGTAGATGGCATACCATTTCGTTGTTCAAATTCAAATGAACAAAAGAGAATTTTGAGCATTTCGGACGGATTTACCCATTTATATTAGTGAAAATGGTGTAAAATAGTACAAAATGGTTTTTCGTTACCGGATGGATGATTTTTTTAATAACATGTTATTCTACATAAATGTCTAATTATCAAATGAAAACAAAAATCCAATTTATCAAATTTAAGATAAATATATAATTTGACCCAAAAAATATTTAATTTATTAAATGAAACGTTATGGATTATTTATATTTTAAAGATATATTATGATATATTATCAAATGGATGAAGAAGCGTTGAGGCTAGAAATACAAAAATCCTTCGAATCTTCTGTTATTAAAGATAAGCTAAAATCTTTTTATAATTTGTAATTCCAGCTACAATAATAATTATATGTTGCACGTTAAAAATTAGTTTATGTTGTATGAATAACTAGAAAATACATTTCCTTAGAGCTGACTAATGTCCAAAATAAAAAAGAAAATAAGAACTTGGTTTGCTACATTTTCATTTTTCCAACCTAGCTCAATGAGGATTTGTGTCTGGAAGTTATTAATATTGGTGTTATGTTTTTAGTTAGCTGATATTTTTAAAGTAGGGTTTTGGAACAAAAGCAGCTTAATTTAGTAAAAAATACACTAAAGGTGTTGACATGTTGAGGTCTTTTAGTTCTTTATTGTGTTCTACTATTTTATTCATATTACTGGTCAATGCATCCATATTTAGCAGTTGTAGAAGTATCTGTTAGACATTAGGCATCTAGTGATGTGGGGGTTTTGATGATTGGTTCACAACATGCGTTTTTGTTTGTTGGTTTTGAATGCTCTATTACTTCTGATATGTGTTACCTCTGCAATGGCCATGATAAGTCAAAAGTCAAATGTTTTTTCTTTATGTATCCTACTACTTTTCTTTGTACGAGTTTTCCATTAGTAAATGCACTAGCAAAATGTCTGCATTCTCCTCTCATTGAACATGTATTGCAATTATATACACAATTCCTTTCTGAAGATTAGTAATATGGTAACGCAACTCACGCAATATTTGTTGCTCGTATTTCTAGAGACGTGGTTCAAGATATTTTTGAATAGGTAAAAGCATATGATACATTTCTAGTTGGAGGTAGCCAATGTTGTGCATAGTCGTTAAAATGCATCCTCCATGCATATTTTATGACATTCGATGAGGTTCACGTGACATCATTTTCTATTGGATCTAAGTGATTAAGTACTCGTGATATTTGATATCTATGTAATGGCTCTAACACGTATAGATGTAGATATTTTTTGTTATAGTATTCTTTAAGAGAGCTTTGCACTTGCAAATACATAGATAAATTGTATGCATTATGCTTTTCATCGAATATGTAATACAATTTGGTTTGTTTTCATAAAAACAATATATAGTTCTAAATGTAATCATCTGGCATCATATAATGGTTTTTCGTTGAGTTAGTAGACACATGGCTAAAAATTTGTTTTTGAATAGATTCAAGTACACAATTCTAAGATTAAAAGTGAAGTAAATCTCAAAGAAGTTGAAGGGGATATCTTTTAGATTTCCTAAATTTACATTCTATAATTAATTTTCTTTGGAACAACATCTTCGACCAGAATTTACATAGAATATGCTTTGATTGTTTATCTATTGAAAGGTCGATCATGTCATACAAATATTTACAAAGTACAAGATAATAGATATATTTACAAAGTACAACATGAGGTTGAATCGTTTAGCACTCTTTTGTTCCACTGTCGTGTTGTTAAGCATCTCCGTTGGGAGTTATGTCAGAGTCATCAATAGCTACACAAAAGTAGCTGAATCTTCTGAAGAGATGCCAATCAAAATCTTCCCTCCTCATGTCGGCATAAACACTCTCAAAAAAGTATATTCTATCTCTTCATCGAATCAACATTTTTACAATTATTTTTTTCCTTTTTCATGTTAACATAACTCAGGCTGATAATAATGATCTAGGCATGATATCTTGTGGATAACACCGATAAGCGATGATGATTCTAACGTTGTTAAGAACATTATGGCTTTAGTGATGTACGGATTTTGATAATTGGTTCACAACAACATGTAATCTTGTTTGCTGGTTTTGAATCTGATATGTGTTATCTGGTCATGATAAGTCAAAAGTCAAAATGTTTTTTCTTTTTGTATCCTAATACTTTTGTCTGTACTAGTTTTGCATTTGTAAATACAATAGCAAAATGTCTGCATTCTCTGCTTATTGAACATGCATTGCAATTTTATGCAAGATACATTTCCTAAGATTAGTTATTTGGTAATGCAACTCATACAATGTTTGTTGCCTAGATTTGTGGAGACGTGGTTAAAGATATTTTTGAATAGATAAAAACATATGATGCATAAATAGAAGAATAAGTGAAGTTACTTTGAGAGTGGTCAATGTTGCGTATAGTCGTTAGAAAATTGCATCATCAATATTTCATGACAATTGATGATAGGTTTACAAACGTGATTTTGTTCATTGGTTCTGACTTCTGAGTGATTCATTACTCATGATATTTGATGTCTATTGAATAGACCTAACATGTATTAATGCATATGTGTTTTTAGATAGGTATTTAATTAATGTGTAAAGAGAATCTTGCACTTGCAAACGCATTGGTAAAATGTATGCATTATGCTCATGTAATTATATGTTAAAACCATTTATTATACAATGGTTTTTAATTGAGTTCACATTGACATGACCAAAATTATATTTTGAATATATATTCAAGTACATAATTTTAGAAGATGAAAAATGAAGTAAATCTCAAAGAAGTTGAAAGGGTATCTTAGAATTTGTTATATATATATATATATATTCAATAATTAATATTCTTTAGAAAAAATCTTTGATGGTAATTTACATAGAACTAAATTTTACCTCGTGCATCCGCACGAGAATTTTATCAAATTTGTAATGTAATTTATGTTTTTTTATAGATATAATTTTTTTTAATATGTGACAAAGATTCATTTTTTGTTTATATATAATTTGTATTTAATTTTTTTTTGTTAGTATTATTACGACCGTGTTCATAAAAACATAATTACAACCAGATCATTCTATTAATAAAAAGATAGTTATTATAAAAACATAATTTTAATTCGTTCATTCTATTAATCCGAAAAAAATTATGGTTATAAAAATATAATTCTAATATGTCCGTTCATATTACCATATAATATAAATATTATCTAATTTTGAAATAATTTTATCTTGCATGTTTTGATAACTTAACCGGCATAAGACCACAATTATAAATAAAAATTAAAAAATTTAACCCGTCCTATCAAATTATCATATAATATAAATTTTTATGAATTTTAAATATATAAAGTTTTTGACCGATTGATTATGATTAAATATTTTTTAATCATATGTGTTATTATGAAAATATTATTTAAATTTTAAATGTGAAATTAAATCTAAACATATTTAAAGAAGTCTAAAATAATTTATTTAGTATCTAACTTTGTAGACTTAAATTTAATTGCAATTTTTTTAAAAAAATATTAAAATTTATATTAAACTTGAAATATATTAAGGAAATCTTTAATTATCTAAATTGATATCTAATTTTCGGAATTAGTTTTATATATAATAGAAATGTACTTTTAAAAAATTAATATCGCAACAAAATAAAATAATCTTAAAACAGTTTTTAAATAATTTTTTTAAAAAAAAATTGGAAGTGTTTGGATCCAAACACTAAAAGTGTTTTTGTTTTAATATAATAGATATACTTCAATTTTTCAGAAGAGGTCGTACACGCCATACAAATATTTACATAGTACAAAGTATTAGAAAATTTTGCAAAAAAATATTCAACATGGGGTTGATTCCTTTACAACTCTTTTGCTCCACTGTCATGTTGCTAAGTATCTCTGTCGTGAGTTATGGGTGGTCGCCAATAACTACATTAGAGTAGCTGAACCTTTTTAGGAGATGCCACTCGAAACCTTCACTCTTCCTAGCGATTTAAACATTAATGAACAAGTATTTTCCCTTTTTTATCAAATCAAAATTTTTACATCTAGTCTACTTATAATGACTTACAAATTTTTTTCCTCTCCCGAGTTCATATAATGCAGCGAGATCATAATGATCAAGGTATGATATTCTCATGGATAACGCTAATACACAATGATTATATCAACATTGTTCCAAACATTTTGGCTCTAGTGATGCGGGCGGTTTTGATGATTGGTTCACAACAACATGAAATCTTGTTTGCTAGTTTTGAATGTTTCATTACTTGTGGTATGTGTTGTCTCTACAATAGTCATGATAAGTTTAGAGTCAAATGGATTTTTCCCGTATCCCAGTACTTTTCTGTGTATGAGTTTTTGCGTTGCAATTTTATACAAAGTACCTTTCTGAAAATTTCTAATCCGGTAATGCAACTCATACAATTTTTATTGGATGGACTTGGGGAGACCTGGTTAAAGATATTTTTGGAATAAATAAAAAAAATATGATACATTTCTAGAAGATTAACTGAAGTGACTTTGGGAGCAGCCAATGTTGCATATAGTCGTTCAAAAAAATGCATCCTCAATATTTCATGAAATTCGATGATAGTTTGTTCACAAGATGTGATTTTGTTCATTGGTTCTAAGTGATTTACGACTCGTGATATTTGATGTTTATGCAATAGCTCTAACAGGTATAACTGTTCATGTTTTTTTTTAATAGATATTTGTTAGGATTTAGATCAATTTGATGTTGCTTAGGAATGATTTAGTGTTTGGTTCTTGTGAGAAAAGAAAGAAAGAGAGTAAAGAAAACAGAGTAAGGGAGCACACGCGCAATTCATGAGTTCACGCATGTAAACTTGGGTGCTATGTATCGCCGGAAAACTATCCAGAAATCCACTAGAATCAATGTATAGGGGTCACAAAGACCTAAACTTTGGCTCACTCACGTTCTTGTGTTTTCTCTTACACACACTTATTTATATCTCTCTTATGTTCTTTTATACACATTTAGAGATAAGACACTTTGGATCCTTTGCTAGCGATCCGATCCA